GGATATTGTAATAGCTCTTGGTGGTAGGGGATTTTAGCTGGAACATGGTTACTAGTTGGAGTGGGAATTGTTGAACTCATTGAGACCACTGGAAATAGGCAAGAGTGATCAAATACAATATAGGGTGAAACAAATATATGTCTGTAACATATTTACTGTCAACACAATTATACCAACATTGAAAGTCTCAGTTCAGTTTGACTAGGAAACTAAGATCTGAATAAATTCTGAGTTTCAACAATGTAATCAGATCTACCACTACCACATCACTCTATAAGGGCAACAAGTATGGTACGAACTGGGCTCTTTCATATATAAGGTGACCATGAGTTAGCCAAATGGACATTCAAATTTGATTTTGAATCCATCATTCGCTTTCTTAACGTGGAGCTTGAAATTCTTGCTTATCGGCAAATCCGTTTGAATATGTACAACTTCAGTTTAATATCTTTAAGCATCACCGAGGCAATTAACAAGAAATAGATGCATTAACAATGACTGGAAAAAGAAACTACCAAAGTAAATAATATTCTCCATACTAGGTAATGCTTTAATTTGGAATATTCCTATAAGATTGCAGCTTCAGAGAATATGCATGTACTTTACAGTATAATCAGATTTGAGTGAAGAACTTAGAGTTCAGTTACACCCTGGTTCAACTATTCTGTGACTCCCATTTCAAAGGAGAAAGCTTTCCACAACTACAGAAAAACTCATATAAAACCTTTGCAAATTCAACTAATACTGAAGATATGCACATTACACTCCAACCATCTTATGAAGATATGCCACATATACACGAAATATGGATAGTCTATACATCAGATACATCATAATAGAAGACTCACTCAAGAGCTGATGGTCACTCAAATTCTGCAGAAGCACTTAAAGCTTCTATAACTGTGTTAGTGAAACTAGAAAGTAATATAGCAAAGCTCACACATAAGATAAGAGCTATATAAAACATGCACCCAATAAAAAAACCATCAAGCCTAGTCAACTGTTAAATAACTGCAAGATTTGATTCTTTAATGTATCACTCTCATATATAAGGTGTCTGCTGATTGTAAACAACATATTCAGAGTCAATTAATTCAACAGAAGTTCTACGCAACAGTTTTCAGAATGATAATCTTACAAGTTTAAATCAACTACAATTTGATAAGTACTCAATAACGATACTTGTGGAATAGTCCTTTGGTGCATTACAAGACCACGACCCTTCCTTGCCCCTCGGTAGACAGTCTCAACAATGTCAATGAACTCCTGCTTGTCCTTGAGAGCCCAGTTGATCTTGTTATTATACCAGTACCAAGATCAATCATTATGTGCTTGTTCCTAAAGAAGAACAATGACTGTGGATGGTCATAAAGCATACATTGTGTTAAAATCAGGCACCTCCGTAATGTCCACAAGGTAAATCACAGCAAAATTCTTTATAGTTCAGCAACTGATGCCAACTCATCCATCTGAATTGAAAAGAATTAAAAAAAAAAAAAAAAATTAATTAAACGTGACCAAATGAAAATGGATTCGTAAAGTAAAATAACTTACTGTTAAAAATGCAAAATAGAATGGAAACAATTGGGACCTGTTTGTTTCACTCCTTTTAGTAACTTTTGTATTATCCTATTTGGATTGAAAATAAGAATATGTGTTTGTTTAGTTATTAGGTTATTTCATTCAGAAAATTAATCTAACTCAAATAAATTTTATTTCGTTTAGAGTTGGAAAAGTGGATGGGACTTGTTTTCTATTATCCTAATCTATTCATTAACAATTACTTTTTACAATAAAAATTTATAAATTAACAAAAACATCATATTCACCCACGTCACTTTTAATTGCCAGCAATCATCGCCGATCGCTAGCATCAAAATAATGCACGATTGTCCGAATTTGGTCAATCGTGCATTAATCTGGCTATTGACAACCAAATCTATAGCTAGAGATCTAGTTGTTGACGATTTTAACATTAATGATGGCCAGAAATATGGTTATAGATCTAACCAAATCCAACTGATTGTGTGTTGTTCTGATGACAGCTTCCATCGTCCGGCAATGGTACCAAACAGACCCGAATTTTGTAAGGTCAGTGGGGTCATACGCCCTTGGTGTCTCCGTCACGGACACGATATCTTCAGTATGTCACATAAATACATAATTCTTGCGGGGAAACGACTTACACCTACCCAAGGTTTGGCGAAATGGTGATTGGTACCCAAAAGGTTTCAAAACGACAAACAAGTACCTTTCGTTAGTGAAAAGACTAGAATGCGCTTTGAGAAATATTAGTCTATTTTTGTAATTAATTTAGACCCCTTAAGTTTATTAATTCCATCAAATACCCCCAGAAAAAAGTTTAAAAATTAACAAAAACACCCTCACCCACCCATACTTGCCAGATTCCGGCGGCCACTGCTAGTGGTAGCCGGAATCTATCACAACGGTCTACGCCACCACTGGAAATGGCCGGTAATTTACTGATCTAGCCTTTCCGGCCAGATTTGGCCGTCGACGGCCGCAACACTCCGACGGCCAAAGATGTGGCCGTCTTTGTCTGTTAACGATGGCCAAGATTTGGCCGTCATTGACAGTCAACGGCGGCCATTTCTTTGGCCGTCAGTTTCCGGCCAGATTTGGCCTTTTCACGTCAGATCTAGCCTTTTCACGTTAGATCTAGCCTTTTCCGGCCAGGTTCATGGTGAATCTGGTCGGAAAAGGCCAGATCGGTGAATTAACGGCCATTTTCGGTGGTGGCGTAGACCTTTATGATAGATTCTGGCTACCATCGGCAGTGGCTATCAGAATCTGGCAAGTATGGTGGGTGGGGGTGTTTTTATTAATTTTTAAACTTTTTTTCTGGAGGTATTTGATGGAATTAATAAACTTAAGAGGTCTAAAAGTAATTAAAAAAATAGACTAATATTTCTCAAAGGACATTCTAGTCTTTTCACTAACGAAAGGTACCTGATTATCATTTTGAAACCTTTTAAGCACCAATCATCGTTTCGTCAAACCTTGGGTCGTTCGGTAATTCTTGCCTGTGTAACAAGAAGCAAACTGAAGGAGTCTCGACAGAAACTAACTTTGATTTATATGTGTGTGTGTGTGTGTGTGCGTGTGCTTGTGGGAGAGAAATAGAGAGATTTTAGTATCACTCATGATTCAACTATATATGATGATGCATGGATGAATAAAAACCTTCTACACCAATGAGAAGCTACAAAATAAACTACTGTCAAATCACTTATGTTGAGTGTTAAGCCAATGTATTTGAATTTTATGAATCTCCAAGATTTTCATAAGAAAAGTTTTGAAGATTTACTATTTGAAATTAAAAACCCTAGTACATGATAAAAACAGAGTAAGGTGTGGACTGTCACTGAAAATGATGAATTATATGAAGATTAATGTTGGAAGCAGGAGTCCATTCCTAAACTTTATCACAACGAATACACAACTAAAAGGATATTCCGAATCAATAATCAACCAACACCTTTGTGATCATAAATCTATGCAAAAACAACCAAGGCTGAACATAGTATTAGTAAATTTAACTTGTTGACCACCCTCCTTTTTTGTGATTAAGGAACACGGTCTCTGGTTTTGCTTAATTATCACAGGCTTGTTCTTGTTCATCATTCAAAAGCACCATAAAAATATATGCATCATGATGGAAGACCCTCGACTACTTTTTCAATCTCAATATCTTAGTTTGATGCTGTCAGGGAAAAGCAAAGCAACCCACATCCAATGTAAGAAATCTGACTAACGTAAACGCTATCAGAGTTTACCTTTGTTAAAAATTTCCCTTTAAGAATGATACCTGTAATGCATTGGCATAATCTGACGAAATGCATCCACAGCCTATTTTAGCTTAAACAAATTCCGTATGTAAAGGAGGAGCAGGAAGAATGAGAAACAACAACCAAGAGGGAAAAAAAAAAAAGAAAGGCATAATCTCATTGACTTTTCTGAAGGTTTGGCTATATTTACAGAGATAACCCACTGGAGTATCTTTTTGTCGATGACCTTCCATGAAAAAATTATTACAAGAAATTCCATGAAACTTAAAGGGAAGTTTTAAAAAAATTTATGAGAGGTAAAAAAAAATATTTAGACTTCTAGAGGAGGACTCTTATCGAATTATGAAATCAATGGGGTTTGCTTCTACTCCAGCCAACCCTTTAGAGAAACCTTAAGGAAGCCTCATGAAACTTATTCAAAACAAAAGGAAAACAAACAGAAAGGGAAAATAACGGATTATACTTGAGAAGATCCAGGCATACAAATGTTTCCAGCATGTAACTACACAACCGTTGCTTTTAATATTTTTTACCCTAAAGCTTTTATTTGAAGTTCCCAGGCCGAAAGTTGTTTCTTGGTTTGAATTCATCAAAATTTTAGTAACTCCTCAACCATTGCTTGTCAATCTCCAAAGAAAGAATCGGCAATACATCATTTCTTCTACACTTTTGATTTGTTATTTGGCTTGGCTTATAAAGTTGTGTAGATGGTTATCCTTAGTTTGAGAGTCCTGCTTCGCTGAGCTTTATTACTGAAAATATTTTGGAGTATTTGGAAGCCAAGAAAAACTTTGATAAAGATGAATAGTAAAAGCATTGCACGTCTGTTGCGACTGAGAAATATACAAGAAATTTTAATGACAAAGAGGAGATTTTCAACTACAACTATTCTTTTAGCTCTTTTCGGAATTGAAGTGTTGTTTATGACCAATTTTCTTCCTTCCTTGATGTGATTAGACTAAAAGGAAGTAATTTCTATTAACCCGTCTTCTAAGTTCTAACATATAAAACTTTTATCAGTTCATAGTCATCGATATTTATGCACATGTTGCCTGGTTGAAAACCTTATCAGAGGTACATGGACATTCCGGTTCAACTGAAAAAAGTATCAGCAACATTATGTTGAGCTTCCAGATCAATCTAGCTAGTATATTTAGAAACATTTTTTGAGGGCATGGGCATCTGGGATAGTGGGATCAACCAAAAAAGGTTACACAAACATTGAGCTTCCAGTTCCAGATAGAACGATATAAATAATAAAAACCAAGAAAGCAAATAGTACAAAATTTCTAGCCTAGTTAAAGATGAAAGGAAAATTTTGGAGTCCAACATAACTTTGTTTTCATTACAATTAACAAGTTTTAAGCCTTCTGTTTCTTTGGCATTCTGTAGCCACCAACCACACAAGCATGGTCTCGCTCAAAAGGCTCCAATGTCACCTGCTCAGAAGGTTTGAACTGCTCCTGTTGCAGCTTCTTCACTTCACTCTGGAACACAGCCTCAGCAGGAACAGTGGAATCTATGCAATTGGCCTGAGATGATAAAACACAACCTCAGTCATATATCAACAAATCAAAAAAGATTTTTTTTTTTTTTTTTTATTTTTTGGCTTAAAATGAAAGGCGCAAATGGAGAAGAAAACATATTGTTGTACATCAAAGACAAGTGAGTTCTCAAGATGACTTCAAGTTTTGCTAAATTTTCCAAAGTACTCTTGAAAATGAATGCAAATTTAAATTTATACTTCATCTTATCTTAAAGGCAAAATCATAAACTTCTCTACGAGAACAACGAAATATAAGGAATAACCTATAATAAAATCAATACCAACCTTGATTGAAATAACAAAATGACCTCCAGCTTTGAGAAAATAAGATGCATTCAGAGCTAAAATTCTTGCCTGTAAGAAAATTCATAAAGCAAACCAAGGCTCAGAAATATAAATAAACATAACAGTTGCAAACCACCTGCTCCAGAAAGCTATGAAATCGTATGATAACAAATAACAAATAGAAAGAACGAAGATTACTCTGTGTGCAGGTGCAAGTTGAAATGTTAAAGAACAAGTCCATTTACAAAATCACAAGAAAACACAAAAACGAGAAGGTAGAAAAAATGTGAAAAGACACATATTAACATGTACTAACCATAGTTTTCATTTTAGCACAAATGCAATTTAACAAACAAGTTCAGTACCATAGCAATGAAGGTCCATCACCAGCAATCCACAAAATGAATGCTGGTGAAACATTTTCTTGAAATTGCAAATATAAGATATTTAGTCAAAGAACCACCATTATTAGTTGATGGTTTTTTCTTTGGATCTGAAACAAGTCTTTTTTCCAATAAGCAAAAAAGTTAACTGAAAACCAAAATTTATTTAACTGTACAAAGGAAACACAGTATAACTTTGTACAGCAGAGAAAAGACAATAAAGAAACCAAGAAAAGAAAATGAAAGAAACCAATAGATTTAATGTACCAACAAGGCAAGCATCAGAAACTCGGGCTTTCATCACCCACAATGTCATGAAGGGGAATCCGAGTAGATCATCATATGCATTATAATAACATATAAATCAATATTTGAAAGGAAAATATAAGAAGGAAAACGACAAGTTAAGAGAATATGCAAACAAAATCAGATCTCTGAGAGTTCCTAGTATGAGGAAACATCCCAATCTATTCAGGTAGAAGAATGCAAACATAGAAGTAAAAACAATATACTATACATGAAATCCAAAGAAAATCAAGGAACACATGCTACTTTCTCCAAAATAAAATTTTGAAAAACAAACAATCAATCGCAAGTTTTGAAAACTGAATCAATATCACATCAGATACTCGAGTTTGCATCACCCATAATGTCCTGAAGGGGAATCCGAGTAAAATTCATCATATGTATTATTAAGAAATAAAATAAAATTAAAATCAAAAGCTAGACAAACATGAGAACAATATAATGAATAGTAATAGTANGAGAATATGCAAACAAAATCAGATCTCTGAGAGTTCCTAGTATGAGGAAACATCCCAATCTATTCAGGTAGAAGAATGCAAACATAGAAGTAAAAACAATATACCATACATGAAATCCAAAGAAAATCAAGGAACACATGCTACTTTCTCCAAAATAAAATTTTGAAAAACAAACAATCAATCGCAAGTTTTGAAAACTGAATCAATATCACATCAGATACTCGAGTTTGCATCACCCATAATGTCCTGAAGGGGAATCCGAGTAAAATTCATCATATGTATTATTAAGAAATAAAATAAAATTAAAATCAAAAGCTAGACAAACATGAGAACAATATAATGAATAGTAATACTAAGCACCACTGAGAAATGGTGCAAAAAAAAACTCTCCACTACTGATTCCGACACCTAAACACATAACCATTGGTTCTTCATTTCCCACTGGTAAAATTGTAAATATGATTCTATATGAGAAACTGCTTGAAGGATGCACTAAGTGGAAATATGCAGGGTAGCAAACCTGATCGGGCTGAGCAACATCAGAAAATATAACATCCACCATGCCAACCAACATCCGGTACTTAGCTGGATGTCTAGCATCCTCAATGATAGGAATAACGTTTGTTCGCTTTTTTGCCATGTTGACCAAGTCTCTACCACTTCTATGAGAAAACTCAACTGCATAAACCACACCCTCCTATAGGGAAAAAAAAAAAAAAAAACTTGTAAGCAACTTTCAAGACAAAGACACATCAAAGAAGAAAAAACTATAGTTTCTAATCCATCACTCACAGGGCCAACAATATCAGACACATGAGAGACAGTTGTACCAGAGGCAGCCCCAAGGTAGAGAACACGAGCACCCGGTTTCTAAATCAAACAATACAAAACATATGAACATAAATTATCAAACTTAAAAACACTAACAGGAAACTATTAATCACCATTTGGGAAACTTACAATCCATATATTATCAACACCACCAAGAACAGCAGCTGCCAACTTTGAACGGAAGGGATTCCAAACTCTGTATTCAACTTTAGTTCCATCTTCATTCTATAAAAACAAACATATTATCAGTTAAGAAATGATTAACTAAACAAAAGCAAAAAACTTTATTTAAAAATGTAAGGACCTGAACAGCGACTCTCTTCTCATTGTAGACAGCTACACCAGGAACCAAGTTCTTAGTGACAAGGGCGTCTTCTTTACCCTTAGCAATGAAAACTCCCTCGTGTCTATGTGGCTCAACCACAACCCTGCTTCCACCTCTCATTCCACCTCCACGTCCTCCACCGCGGCCACCACCTCGGCCGCCACCACGGCCTCTCATGGCGCTACCACCTCTTCCACCACTAAAACCTCCTCTACTGCCTCCTCTTCCTCTTCCTCCTCCATCACCCCTGCCTCCTCTAAACCCACCACCACCGCGGCCTTAACACAAGAAAGAAACCCTATTAATATTCACATCGATATTAAATCTAACTAAATCTTTACACACAAAAAGTTATTTGCTCTAGTTACCTCTTGGGGGTCTCATGTCTGCAACTCTGAAGGGCTGAGTGTGAGCTTGCGAGTAAAGAAGCGGGGCGTTGTAAAGTACCGGTTTAGGTTTAGGTGGTGCTTTTATAGGCGGGACGTTTAGGGTTTAGGGTTTTTGTGGAAGGGTGGAAAACTCATGGGTCTAGAATCTAGATAGCCCAGTAAACCAGGGCCCAAATTGATTTCATATTTGGGCCGCTGAGGCTGAGCTATAAGTGGTAAAAGAAAGCACCTCTATAATTCATTAAAATTTAATATTTTTTTAAATTATAAAATTACTTTTAAATGAATTTATTAGGCATCATAAACACTTTTCACACCTCACTTGGTGAACAAAAACTCTAATTATTAAGATTTTTTTTATTAAAAAACATTTTTAAAAACAAAATTAAGTCCTTCATCTGTCTCCACTATATCATATTTTCAATATATATTCCTACATAACCAGAACTGCCCAATTTTATTTTCAATTATTTTTGAATTTTAATTTGAATATCTGAAAGTTTGTAGATTGATAGTGAGAGACAAATAATAAGAAGGTTATGAAGTGGTGATATTCATAGAATTTGTGGAATAATATAACAACAAACTCCACTTAAAAATTGACTCCTTAATTTTCCCACAGGCACTAATAGGGAGGATTATTAAAGGGTTTATCTTGTTAATTTCAAAATCTCATTGAATTAGTTAAGGTATGCGCAAACTTATCCAAACACTCTGGTCACCAAAAACAAGAAAGACTTCTTAATCATTTTTTATTTTTTTTTTTATTTTTTTATCAAGGGATGTTAATCCTCCAAGACTTGGTCGGGTAAGAGCCTCAATAACTATATAATGGCTAGATAAACCCGAACTTAATGGCTCATCTAACCTCATATTGCTCATCGCCATGCCAGGTTGTTGACCCCTTAATTTAAAGAATAATACTTTGGGTACTAACGGATTGTACTAATCAGTGTACTAATTTTTGTCAAAATCACACATGATACATGTACTATGCTTTAAGTTAGTACACTGGTTAGTAAAGTCCGTTAGTACCCATAACATTACTCTAATTTAAATTAACAAATTTTAACCCATCATAATCACAACCCAAAATATCTTCTTGTACAAATATCTCAATCCCTAGAGAGTATGAAAACTATAAGCCGCTCTCTTTCTTATCCCAACTTTCCGGAGAAGCCCCAAATCGAAGAAAACAATGTCTACTGCGTCTGCATGTCTTCCTCTTTACACGCCTGTTACTGCTTCAAAGATAACCACCAAAACCTCCACATCAAGACCCTTCAGCTTTAACACTAGGAAATTCAATGGTCATGGAATTGGTAACTCTATAACGTGCAGAGCTGCTTCTTTCCAGGATATAAATATCGATCTTTACGATCTTCTGGGCATCGATAACAGTTCCGATCAATCTCAAATAAAAACCGCTTATCGTACGCTGCAGAAGAGATGCCATCCCGATATTGCAGGCCCCGCAGGACACGACATGGCTGTTATACTCAATGAAGTTTATTCTCTCCTTTCTGATCCCACTTCTCGCTCGGCTTACGATAAGGTTTGTTTTTAAAAATCTATACGAATAAGAAGATAGATGTGATGAGTTGGAATGTTTAGAGTTTGTGTTGCTCTTCCAGGAACAATCCAAGATCGCTCAACTCCGAGGCTTCACTGGAAAACCTTTATACTCCGTATGGTTTGGTGGTGAAAGCGAAAACAGAGCTGTGTTTGTTGATGAGGTGAAGTGCGTTGGTTGTTTGAAATGTGCGTTATGTGCAGAAAAAACGTTTGCTATTGAGTCGGTATATGGAAGAGCCAGAGTTGTGGGACAGTGGGCGGATCCTGAATACAAAATCCAGGAGGCAATACAGGCATGTCCTGTAGATTGCATCTCGTAAGCTTCTAAAATTACATATGAAATTGTCTTGTTGAAAGCTTAATTTACATTTTACATCTCTAATTCTTTCATCATTCTCCTTCCAAGAATTGTGGAGAGGTCAGACTTGGCAGCTCTAGAATACCTTATGTCCAAACAACCACGCGGTAACGTTAGAGTGGGAGCAAATGACTCAGTCGGTGCACGGGTCTCGAACATATTCGTTGATGTCAAAAAATTTCAAACAAAATATTTTGATGCCATGAACAAAGCAGCTACAAAGGTATATATACTTATGCATAATCCATTCTATAAATAACACAAACGGAAGTAAGCTTAAAAATTTCATTGATTGCAGGAGGAAGATATGAATTGGAAAGCAAGAATGTCAGCAATTCAAGCAATCAGATCAATCTCAAATTGGTTTTATTGGCAATCACCCACATCGAAAACTGACCAGAATTTGACGCATATCTCCCAGAAAACAACAGATCCAAATATCAAAAAGCTTCGTGCTGCTGCTGCTGCCAGAAAACACGCAAGAGAGATCGGTACAAGAACAAAAACCCCATCAAATTACATATATCTTGAAGAGTATTGGAGTCCATCAACTCAAGCTCTTCCAGCTCCAGCTCCAGTCCCAGCACCGGCAGCTTCAACCCACTTCAACTCAAGCTCTGGAGATTCCTCGGAGTTTTCAAAGAAGAAAACTAATGAAGAATATTATAGGGAAGAAAATAGGAGGAGCCCCATTGCACGGGGAATTCCAATTGTAACAGCCGCAATTGCAGCAGGTGTAGTTCGGATGCAAGTCGGTGAAGGAGTGGTTGGTGGATTAAAGGAACATATAGGAGGGTCACTAGCGTTGGATATTGTTAATAGCTCTTGGTTGCAGGTTATTTTAGCTGGGATTACATGGTACTACGTTGGAGTGGGAATTGTTGAACTCATTGAGACCACTGGAAATAGGCAAGAGTAGATCAAATACAATATAGGGTGAATACAAATTATATGTCTGTACACTATTTTACTGATCAACACAATTATACCAACATTGGAAAGTCTCAGTTCAGTTTGACTAGGAACTAAGATCTGAATAAATTCTGATAGTTTCAACAATGTAATCAGATCTACCGTATCACTCTATAAGGGCAACAAGAATGGTACGAACTTGGTCCTCTTTCATATATAAGGTGACCATGAGTTAGCCAAATGGACATTCAAATTTGATTTTGAATCCAGTCATTTCGCTTTCTTAACGATGGAGCTTGAAATTCTTGCTTATCAGCAAATCCGTTTGAATATGTGCAACTTCAGTTTAATATCTTTAAGCATCACCCGAGGCAATTTACAAGAAATAGATGCATTAACAATTGACTGGAAAAAGAAACTACCAAAGTAAATAATATTCTCCATGTACTAGGTAATGCTTTAATTTGGAATATTTCCTATAAGATTGCAGCTTCAGAGAATTATGCATGTACTTTACAGTATAATCAGATTTGAGTGAAGAAACTTAAAGTTCAGTCACACCCTGGTTCAACTATTCTGTGACTCCCATTTCAAAGGAGATAAGCTTTTCCACAACTACACAAAAACTTATATAAAACCTTTTCAAATTCAACTAAACTATGAAGATATGCCACATTACACTCCAACCATCTTATGAAGATATGCCACATTAATACACAAAATATGGATAGTCTATACATCAGATACCTCATACATAGAAGACTCACTCCAAGAGCTGATGGTCAATCAAATTCTGCAGAAGCACTTAAAGGTACTACTACAACTGTGTTAGTGAAACTAGAAAGTTAATATTAGCAAATGCTCACACATAAGATTAAGAGCTATATAAAACATGCACCCAAAATTAACAAATTTTAACCCATCATAATCACAACCCAAAATATCTTCTTGTACAAATATCTCAATTCCTAAAGAGTATGAAAACTATACGCCACTCTCTTTCTTATCCCAACTTTCCGGAGAAGCCCCAAATCGAAGAAAACAATGTCTACTGCGTCTGCATGTCTTCCTCTTTACACGCCTGTTACTGCTTCAAAGATAACTACCAAAACCTCCACATCCAGACCCTTCAGCTTTAACACTAGGAAATTCAATGGTCATGGAATTGGTAACTCTATAACGTGCAGAGCTGCTTCTTTCCAGGATATAAATATCGATCTTTACGATCTTCTGGGCATCGATAACAGTTCCGATCAATCTCAAATAAAAACCGCTTATCGTACGCTGCAGAAGAGATGCCATCCCGATATTGCAGGCCCCGCAGGACACGACATGGCTGTTATACTCAATGAAGTTTATTCTCTCCTTTCTGATCCCACTTCTCGCTCGGCTTACGATAAGGTTTGTTTTTAAAAATCTATACGAATAAGAAGATAGATGTGATGAGTTGGAATGTTTAGAGTTTGTGTTGCTCTTCCAGGAACAATCCAAGATCGCTCAACTCCGAGGCTTCACTGGAAAACCTTTATACTCCGTATGGTTTGGTGGTGAAAGCGAAAACAGAGCTGTGTTTGTTGATGAGGTGAAGTGCGTTGGTTGTTTGAAATGTGCGTTATGTGCAGAAAAAACGTTTGCTATTGAGTCGGTATATGGAAGAGCCAGAGTTGTGGGACAGTGGGCGGATCCTGAATACAAAATCCAGGAGGCAATACAGGCATGTCCTGTAGATTGCATCTCGTAAGCTTCTAAAATTACATATGAAATTGTCTTGTTGAAAGCTTAATTTACATTTTACATCTCTAATTCTTTCATCATTCTCCTTCCAAGAATTGTGGAGAGGTCAGACTTGGCAGCTCTAGAATACCTTATGTCCAAACAACCACGCGGTAACGTTAGAGTGGGAGCAAATGACTCAGTCGGTGCACGGGTCTCGAACATATTCGTTGATGTCAAAAAATTTCAAACAAAATATTTTGATGCCATGAACAAAGCAGCTACAAAGGTATATATACTTATGCATAATCCATTCTATAAATAACACAAACGGAAGTAAGCTTAAAAATTTCATTGATTGCAGGAGGAAGATATGAATTGGAAAGCAAGAATGTCAGCAATTCAAGCAATCAGATCAATCTCAAATTGGTTTTATTGGCAATCACCCACATCGAAAACTGACCAGAATTTGACGCATATCTCCCAGAAAACAACAGATCCAAATATCAAAAAGCTTCGTGCTGCTGCTGCTGCCAGAAAACACGCAAGAGAGATCGGTACAAGAACAAAAACCCCATCAAATTACATATATCTTGAAGAGTATTGGAGTCCATCAACTCAAGCTCTTCCAGCTCCAGCTCCAGTCCCAGCACCGGCAGCTTCAACCCACTTCAACTCAAGCTCTGGAGATTCCTCGGAGTTTTCAAAGAAGAAAACTAATGAAGAATATTATAGGGAAGAAAATAGGAGGAGCCCCATTGCACGGGGAATTCCAATTGTAACAGCCGCAATTGCAGCAGGTGTAGTTCGGATGCAAGTCGGTGAAGGAGTGGTTGGTGGATTAAAGGAACATATAGGAGGGTCACTAGCGTTGGATATTGTTAATAGCTCTTGGTTGCAGGTTATTTTAGCTGGGATTACATGGTACTACGTTGGAGTGGGAATTGTTGAACTCATTGAGACCACTGGAAATAGGCAAGAGTAGATCAAATACAATATAGGGTGAATACAAATTATATGTCTGTACACTATTTTACTGATCAACACAATTATACCAACATTGGAAAGTCTCAGTTCAGTTTGACTAGGAACTAAGATCTGAATAAATTCTGATAGTTTCAACAATGTAATCAGATCTACCGTATCACTCTATAAGGGCAACAAGAATGGTACGAACTTGGTCCTCTTTCATATATAAGGTGACCATGAGTTAGCCAAATGGACATTCAAATTTGATTTTGAATCCAGTCATTTCGCTTTCTTAACGATGGAGCTTGAAATTCTTGCTTATCAGCAAATCCGTTTGAATATGTGCAACTTCAGTTTAATATCTTTAAGCATCACCCGAGGCAATTTACAAGAAATAGATGCATTAACAATTGACTGGAAAAAGAAACTACCAAAGTAAATAATATTCTCCATGTACTAGGTAATGCTTTAATTTGGAATATTTCCTATAAGATTGCAGCTTCAGAGAATTATGCATGTACTTTACAGTATAATCAGATTTGAGTGAAGAAACTTAAAGTTCAGTCACACCCTGGTTCAACTATTCTGTGACTCCCATTTCAAAGGAGATAAGCTTTTCCACAACTACACAAAAACTTATATAAAACCTTTTCAAATTCAACTAAACTATGAAGATATGCCACATTACACTCCAACCATCTTATGAAGATATGCCACATTAATACACAAAATATGGATAGTCTATACATCAGATACCTCATACATAGAAGACTCACTCCAAGAGCTGATGGTCAATCAAATTCTGCAGAAGCACTTAAAGGTACTACTACAACTGTGTTAGTGAAACAAGAAAGTTAATATTAGCAAATGCTCACACATAAGATTAAGAGCTATATAAAACATGCACCCAAAAAAAAAACCATCAAGCCTAGTCAACTGTTAAATAACTGCAAGATTTGATTCTCTTAATGTATCACTCTCTTATATAAGGTGTCTGCTGATTTGTAAACCAACACATTCAGAGTCAATTAATTTCAACAGAAGTTCTACGCAACAGTTTTCAGAATGATAATCTTACAAGTTTCAAATCAACTACAATTTGCATAAGTACTCAATAACGATACTTCGTGGAATAGTCCTTTGGTGCAATTACAAGACCACGACCCTTCCTTGCCCCTCGGTAGACAGTCTCAACAATGTCAATGAACTCCTGCTTGTCCTTGAGAGCCCAGTTGATCTTGTTATTATTACCAGTACCAAGATCAATCATTATGTGCTTGTTCCTAAAGAAGAACATGACTGTGGATGGATCATAAAGCTCATACATTGTGTTAAAATCAGGCACCTCCGTAATGTCCACAAGGTAAATCACAGCAAAATTCTTTATAGTCTCAGCAACTGATGCCAACACTTCATCCATCTGAATTGAAAAGAATTAAAAAAAAAAAAAAAAAAATTAATTAACTCGTAATTGAATAAGTACCAAAATACAGAACGATGAAAAGGCATTTAAATAATTAAAAAGTACCACTCTGGGTGACAAGAAGAGGGATATTCTTCAATGAATGAGTGCATTAGTTTAGTCAAAACTGTTTAGAACTTCTGTATACAAGAAAACAGAGGGCTGAGGTATGACTGAGGAAGATATTGCTTTCAAAACTTTAGAAAAAGGGCTTCAATATGTATGCAACAATAGACTATGATTACCACTAACAACTGAACTCGTGAATAGAACAGTAAATGCACATCATTAAAAAACCCAAAAGTTAAAATCATATGCGGAGCAAGATAAACCAACAAAAACGTTTGATGACCGGAAGACATACTAATTTCGTTTTCTTAATCACATATCAATAATAAAAAAACACATAAATCACATTATCAGAACACCTGTCCCATTTCAGAGAAGCCAACCTAATTTAACTCCGCTAAGTATCTGCACATATGTAATATTCTGTTCTAAATTTTTTAAGCTAAATAGGTTCTGCCTCGTAATCAAGATAATCTTCATATGTATTGCAGGGAGGAAATGCTATCGTTAAAGGTATTTACTAGATTAAACTCAGAAATATTAGAATCACACATAAAACGACCTTAATAAAGAAGATCAAGTAGAGCAATATTGTTGACACCACAATTAACGGATTAGGAGCAACAAAACCTTTAAAAGAAATTAATCAGATTGCAAGCATAGGGATGAAAAAGATAGATGGGTTTCTAAACATAAGAACCCTAAAGTCAGGTTTGTAAGTTAAAAAGGGTGATTGTGCCTGCTAACAAAATCAGCAAAAGCAGAATTCAATTGTGCGGAAAGGCCATACACACAAAAATCATATAAATATAATATAAATAAGAGAAAATTTAGAATTGGAAAAAGTAAGGACCTGCATACAGGTTTCGTCCCAGTCGTGGCCGAATCGGATGACGACGAGACGCTCTTCTTCGGCCAGGATGGCCTGATCTACTGCCCATCCGGAGTGCAAGTGTGGTAAAAGGTACGACATCTCTCTCTTTCGATTAGATTACTCTCTCTCGATTCGATTGTTCCTATTTTTGCCCAATTACTCTCTCGATTGTTCCTATATACCCTAACCCTAACCCACGAATGATAGAATTAGGAATCCCAATTAATATTTAAAGGAGCCCCGCCCTTAACATTAAATCTTATAAAGGGCAGAATCGTAAAAACATTTTTTTTTTTAAATTTTGGTATGATGGACGTCCGGCGTACGCATTTTATCCAATTTTTTAAATCTAAAATTAACGACCGTGGCCATTCTTATAAAGAATTGAGGTGGATAACATATCCAAAAATTTTAATTAACCGCTCAACCAACTATGTTTAATAAATTAAACTTATCCCATTTCATAAAGAATTAAAATGATCAATTCATATGGTATTAAATAACTCGTATCAGAAGAGCTTTTAATAATTTTACCAAAGGTATTTGATATTTACGTGATAATTTTACAGAGGGTGTATAATATTTTTGAGAGTTTATTGATAATTATTGGGACTCCTTTGTTAAAAAATAGGCACGTCGCTTAAATAAGTGAAGAATATATAGAATGTAGCACGTTTCCTTTGTGTGTGTTTTGCAATTCTGCATTCAAAAACTAAAACCAAATTCTATGCCAATTAAATCCAAACTTAATTTCACCCCCACAAACTCAACGAACCTCTATAACATGAATTCCATCTAACAAACAAAAAAATATGAGAATTCAGAAACCACAATCACAAAATGTAATATGGAATTAATTAAGAGAAGTTTACCTGCATGCAAGTTTCGTCCCAATCATGGCCGAACCGGATGATGACGACGCGTTCTTCCTCCGCCAAGATCGCCTGATCGACGGCCCAACCGGAATGCAAGTGTGGTAGTAGATACGACATTCTATAATTCCTATCTTCTCTTTAGCCTCTAGAAGTTGCGCCAATCTGAATGTGAGGCGGAGGCCTAATTTAAAATATGCTAATGAAGCCTCTAGAACTCCAAAATTCTGGAGTAATAAATTACGTCAATTTTGCGCAATTGCATCACACCACGTGTCAGTGTCGTTGTCATGTGCACTGTAGAGTTCCATTTATCCAAGCAAAATAAAAATTTACATTAGAAAAAAAATTATTAATCTAATAAACTCCATTAAACCAAACTCTATGAATTCTAACTCCTTTTTCTCCATGATTCCCACCCACACTAACTTCAAAATGCGGCCATCCCACTTAAATAAATAAATGAAAAAAAAAAAAAAAAGGATGAAGAAGAAGAAGAAAAGAGAGAAAACTTCGTCGTCCTAAACAAATATCTCTTTCCAACTCCACTGTATCCTGAGGAGTAGAGAGGTTCAGAGTTTTATTTTATATGTTTTTTTATATATGGATTTTCTTTTAAATAAAAAATTATTGATCAAGTTTTTAATATCATATTATTAATATCTATTTTTAATTTCAAGGGGTTTATGCTATTAATCGAAATGGTAGAACCTAGACTGGGGTGATTAAGTATTCTCTCTGTGCATTTGTTTATTTTGGTGTTATGAAATTTGTAGGGGCTCACCAAGGAAACGGGTGTCCCCTCGTTTATTTTAAGAAAATAATGTGTAATTTATCGTAACAAGAATAGAACTTTGTTTCCGATTTGATATGATCATTGTGATTGTGAAACGGTACATGATGCTAGGGAAATAAGAATGGTACCAACTTAGCCTCTTTCATATTGTTATGCCCAAAAAATCAGGATTGACGTTAGCCTGCATCAGCAAGTACCAATTAGAGTTCAAGAAGGTTTTGTACCGCTTGGGAGCTGTCACATCTCTCCATGACAGAAAGAATATGGTTGTCATCAACTTGGTAGATTCAGATTTTGTCTAGGAGTGATTGAGGGTCGCACACATGTCCAATCTCCAAGTAATATGAGGATATTTCCTAAGTTACCAACCAATGCGAGGCAAGAAAGGACTTGTACGACACCTACCTACTTGCAGATTTGTAATCATTATCTTTCATTTCTCTACTATAAATAGAGGACTTCTCCTCTCATTTTTGGGATTCTAATACTGAACCTATTTTCTAATTGTAATCTTTATTTTCAAAGCCAAGATAACCTTCGAGAAAGAGACCGACTTGATATTCTTTCTAAATACTCAGTTATTGTATCTCTGTTCGCTGTTCACTATGCATGACCTCTTGTAATCTTTCATATATAATAGAAACAGTGGACGTAGGAATCGCTTATAAGTATCTGAACCACTTTAAAAATCATCTCTCATTTATTATTCAGTCTTTGCATTAGATTATCACAATCATTCACATGTAATTTCTAAGAACAACTTAGCACTTTGCATGTATGAGTCGTTGATGTCAAAATCACGCATCAACAGTTTGACATCTTTATTTTCAAAGCAAAGATAACCTTCGAGAAAGAGACCGACTTGATATTCTTTCTGAATACTCAGTTCTTGTACCTCTGCTCGTTGTTCGCTATACGCGACCTCTTGTAATTTTTATTGACCAAGACAGTTATCAAGCGCAACAGATAACATCTGAGGAGGTCGTTTGAATAAGACATTTGTTCCACATGTCAAATTCGAACACTAAGCAAAATGATTCTCAATCTTCGACAGCAAAATATTCTAAGTGTTTTCAGGTCATGAATGATAAGTAGAGTACGAAATACATTTTCAAAGCACTGATCATGATCTGGATCAGGTCATTGGACTTTTAAGAAACAATCATATCAGGTTGCTTATGTAAGTCAAAGACCCATGTCTCAGTTCGCTAGTCGAGTCAGACTATCAACCTCATGTCGTATGTTACAATGTGGTTGTTCTCAACTGTTAGTTCGGGCAAATACTCCTCGAGAAGTCAGGTCGCAGCATAATCATGAAGTTCTTAAGATTCAATCTTTGAATGTTGAGAATTGAGGAGCTTTTGTTATGCCTGAAAAATCAGGATTGACGTTAGCCTACGTCAACAAGCACCAATTACAGTTCAGGAAGGCTTTGCACCGCCTAGGAGTTGCCATGTTGCTCTATGACAGAAAGAATATGGTTGTCACCAACTTAGCAGATTTAGGTTTTGTTTATGACTGACTGAGGGCTGCACACATGTCCAAGCCCCAAGTAATTTGAGGATATTTCCTAAGTTACCAGCCAATGGGAGGCAATGAAGGACTTGCACGTCACCTACCCACTTGCAGATTTGTAATCATCACCTTTAATTCCTCTGCTATAAATTGAGGACTTCCCCTCTCATTTTCAGGATTTTGATACTGAACCCATTTTTTTATTGTAACCTTTATTTTCATAGCAAAGACAACCTTCGAGAAAGTGACCGACTTGATATTCTTTTTAAATACTCAGTTATTGTACCTTTGCTCGTTGTTCACCATACGGTTCATACGTGACCTCTTGTAATCTTTCATATATAACAAAAACAATGGACGTAGGAATCGCGTATAAGCATCCAAACTACTTTAAAAATCATCTTTAATTTATTATTCAGTCTTTGCATTAGATTATTATAATCATTCACGTGCAATTTCTAAGAACAACTTAGCACTTTGCACGTGCGAGTCGTTGGTGTCAAAATCACGTATCAACACATATAAAAGATTTCTTAAATTCACTTTCTTAAACTTCCCACTTGGAATTATTGTTTTTAGTAGGCATTACCAGATTTTAGTGGAGAAAACTCAAGCTCACTCACACCCTGGTTCAACTCCCATAGTAAAAGACATAATCTTTCTGAAGCTAGAAAAATACTTGTTTGTGCCCTAGATTATAAAATATTGAGGTTACTGACAAAAATGTTTGTGCCATAATTTTTTATTCTTTAATTCCTTACTATAGAAGCGGCGGGTTTTCCAAAAGTGGCAAGTTTTCCAAGAGCGACAAAAAGTAAGTCTTCCATTCCAATAACACACACTAAATGATGACTTTCAAAATAGGTTTCAGTTGTCGATACGTTTGGAAAGGGGACTTAACCAGTTTAATAATAGTTTATTGAACCCTCTCATTAAAGGTCCAATAAATCTTAAAGCCCACACTTTGTCGTCAATCCATATTAATGAAATGAGTGTACTGGACAAAATTTTAATAAAATCACATTAAGTCCATTAATATATCAGTGGACTATATATTTATCCGGTTTTAATTAAAACAATATATAATTAATGTTAGCTTACAATTAGAAAAAATTTCTAGCACAAGCAACCTAAGAAGATATTCCACATTTTAGAAGAATCACTCCAGAAACAGATGAAAACTCAAATTCTTTAAGTAGCAATCGAAAGCTACTTCTTCTCAATTTGTAGAAAAACAACCGTTAATTTCTACATAAATAGGGAGCCAATTAGGCATTGTCAACTGTTAAATCACTTCAAGGTTTGATTCAATTAATTTCTGCAGATAGGTTCCACGCAACACTTCTCAAATGATGTAGTCTTCTCCACAATGTCAATGAACTCCTGCTTGTCCTAAAGAAGAACATGACTGTGGATGGATCATAAAGCTCATACATTGTGTTAAATCAGGTACCTCCGTAATGTCCACAAGATAAATCACAGCAAAATTCTTTACAGTCTCAGCAACTGATGCCAAAAATTAATCCATCTGAGTTCATAGAAATTTAAAAAAATAATAATAATAATGCAGAAGAATGATGATAATAGCAGTTCAAGAATTAAAAGAGTTATATATTATGTTGAAATCGTTTTCAATTTCAAATCTAATAAGTTATAAACGTCTAAATACCAATGTTTGAATCTTTTTCTCTAACCATGAAAGAAAATAATTTAATTTCATCAAAGAATTAAGGATATAATTTAATATAATGTAATTATAATTCAGAAAATTAAGAAAATAATTAAGCAAAGATTTTAATTTAGTCAACAGTTTAATAGACTAAATAACAAATTTTCAAGACTTCTTCCTAAAAAATGAAAGGAAATATGTAGTATAATTATGGTAAAAATTAAGAAAATTTATTAGAATATATTTTAATTGAAACAATAAAAAATTATTTAGTATAGAATATCATATGAAAATGGTATCAATAATTAAGCAAAGAATTTATTTGTTCAATGTTTTAATTGTATTTTACTATTTTTTTCATTGTCTAAGAAAATATATGTATTTACATTTTTTGTTCAA